TCTCTTGATCCTATACCGACGCACTTTTTGTTTTGAGTAGACCTTTCGTCTCTTTGCAAATGTAACCTGCCTATTTATCTTGTTCTCTATTCTCTTCAGCTCCACTCTCCCCCTCCCCATTCTCTCTCTCTCTCTCTCTCTCTCTCTCTCTCTCTCTCTCTCTCTCTCTCTCTCTCTCTCTCTCTCTCTCTCTCTCTCTCTCTCTCTCTCTGAGTATATATATCCTTTCCCTAAAAATTGCACCCAGAATTTTCTTTTAAAAAAAAAAGAGATACAATCTTGAAACCCTAGAAAAAGAAAAAAAAAACAATTTTTTTTTTCTATATATAGAATTCAAGAAGTATACACCTTCTGTGTGTGTGTGTGTGTGTGTGTGTGTGTGTGGATTTATACTTGTTCTTGGATTGACGGTAAGAAGAAAGTTTGGGATTTATCATGTGAAGCAGATCAGAAATGAGAAAAAAAAAAACTTTTTTAGGGTTGCTGGTTTTTCTCCATGGGACTATAAATTGTGGGCAAGATTCATCTTTTTAACCACTGTAACAAAAGCGTGTAGGGTGTGGATCGTGGAATGCACACGCGGGCAATTATGCTTGTGGTTGGCGGTGACGCTGTGATTTGGCGCGTGGTGGTGGATTGTAGTGTCCATCAGGAATTATCAGACACCCGTAACCAATCTTACAATGGAAGCCACGTGTTGGCTGTTCAGTGGCTGAAAAATCTTTTCTTTTTATATGTGATTCGTTTGGCGATGGTGATCCATCCAGATTGGGTGGATTTTTCATTAGATTTTGTAAGTGAAAAGTATGGGTAATTAATTAATTAATTAATTAATCTTGGAAATATGATTTTTCATGTAAAAATAGGTCTATATATATATATATATATATATATATATATATATATATATATATATATATATTTCTTATGCCGCTCGTAAATTGACTAAGTAGCTTACGAGTATTACGACTGGTGTTGATAAAGAATGCCGGGAGTCGTTGTACCGTGTTTGATGTTGTATAATCATAAGGAAAATCGTCCATTTAAAAATTATTAAACAGTGCTAAAATTAGGTTTTGTCTAATCATTATCTTCCAACGCGCAAGTTAGAAATCGTAAATAAAAGAACTAAAAGCTTTTATTAGATAAGCAAAATATTATTTATATATTTTCAAGAATAATGAATTAACTCCCTATTTATAATTATATTGATAATTGAGATCATTATTTGATGATCTTTTAATTAATTAATAAGACTTCCAAATTGGACTTTCATAGAAGCAAAAATTAATTATGCCTTATTGGGCCCAAACCCAATTATATACACCAAACTTCAGATAGTTTAGGTTTGAAAATAGGTTTTGTAGATGCCATAAGCACATAATATAACACACACGCACATGTGTAAGTGTGCTTAACAGTAGTTATTTGTATAGATTTATACGTGCAGGATTACTCGGTGCTTTTCACCAGATGTAGCATCTGATCATAGACCGTTTGAATAAACCAAAAAATCCCGATAGATAAAATGGAACGATGAAGAAGAAAAGTCGTGAAAAGAGTAGAGTTAGGGTTTTCGACATTCTAATGAAAAGGTACGTTGAATGACATTGACAAACCACAACATCTCAACTGTGATGTCCGTTTCTATCTACACTAGTTGTTAATTTCTTGTCCACTCAAGCCAATGTTACATTATTTGCCCACTTTTATAATTCATATTCATGAATATATATACACACACGTGTCTTTCATTTCAAAATAATGAGAATGAAGTAAAATATTTTGTTACAAATCATTGTTCTCCCTCAAACACATGCAATGTAAAAACTAATATTTTTTTCCCTCAAATTATGCTATGCAGTGTAATATATATATATATATATATATATATATATATATATATATATATATATATATATATATATATATATATATATATATATATATACACACACCAAATTGCATAATTGTGTCAGAGGGTGCGTATATATTTTTGGTAAAAAAATGTACTTTATAAATATAATATAGAATAAAATTAGATATCACTAATGGGATGTGATAAATGTCGTTTCAGTTTGAAAAATACCGTTTCGATTTAAAAAAACGAGTTTGCTCATTTTGGAGGCTGAATTTGGCAAAATTCAAAACACGGAACATGTAGTTCTTTAAGTTAATTTTCTTATACAACTTGAGTCACAAAAAATGGATGCAGAAAGAGAATAATATGAATGAGTCGATGAACATTAATATGCTCATGTACAACTTTAATATTTTAGGTTATCTAAGATTCAAAACTTAACTCATTCATGCTTAATATTGTTAATCTAACTGATCAAAGTGGAACAGAAAGCTAACTCAACCGACTAAATAGTTTCCTTATTTCAAATTCTGCCAAAATCAGACTAGAAAATTGATCAAAACAGTATTAGTAAAATTGAAACACGTCATTTAACATTTCATTATATCAATATATATCAATACACATGTATACATACCAAATGTAACATCAATTGAACTAATGTGAACATTCCATCATACTAATTAAGTAAAGAAAATAAATAGATACACACTTTTGTAGTAGAAAATTAAGGATTACTTTTAACCATTTAGATGTGGGGGTGATGATGAATTGACTTATCATAGAACAAAAAAATTAAATAAAATTGATGAAATATCAAGTGAGTGAAAGAAAAAAAGAAAGAAATAAGAGGGTGGGCACATTAATTTGATGATTATAAATTTTGTGATATGACAAGAGAAATAACAAGTGGGCTTTTATTCACATGGGAAAAAATATATGCCGGCGCATCATCATCGGAGAATAGACGAAGTGGGCCCCCGTTTATGATCAGTCAGCATTACCGTTCAATTTGTCAGGCCCAGCTTTGTTTTTTCAATCAATAATAATAACTATTATTACAATTGTCCTTTTATTGTATATAATACTATTTTAATGGCATCTAAAATTAGTGGTATACTACGGAAAATTTAAACATATTTTCTTTTTTAATAATTTTATTTGAATAGTCTACAAAAGTTAACGTATATATTAAGTTAGTTGGATACTTTATATCAAAACTGGCCCATTAGCTCAGTTGGTTAGAGCGTCGTGCTAATAACGCGAAGGTCGCAGGTTCGAGACCTGCATGGGCCAATATTTTTCATAACAAAAAATAAACAATCAATTGCTTCTGAACATTAATATTTTCGTTCGATAAACTACGAAAAACCCGTCCCCCTAAAATCAGCACGTGATTATTCAATATCCATTTCGAACATCATCATCTAGGTTCCATAATGGACCCCACAAGTAATTATCATGAACCGGAATTAAATCAATATCAGCACTGCCTGCAGCACAATGATGAATTGATACTCATTCATCGGCAAGTACGGACAGTAGTACTCCGACGACGCTGTCTTGTTTTTCCCACAATCGCTCGTTTCTTCCGCTGCCTGTAATACTTGCTTTTGTTGCAGCAAACGATTAGGCTTTTTGACCTAGTCTTTCTTGAAATAAATATCAAAAAAATACGAAACTCAGATAGTTTAGGGCGTGTTTTTCGTTATTTAGCTTAAGTTCAGGGGTTTTTTTTCGTAATTTACCCTACTTAATATGAAACCGAGATAGTAAAAAATACGTCAACCGTTAGGATTGCATAATAATATCAGTTAAGTTTAGACCAACAAGCAAGATAAAAAAATTGTGGACTGATCTATTATTATCAATCAATCCGAAAATTCATATTTCGAAATTTGGAATGCAAAAAATTGTTCCGAAAAATGGAGTTTTTCTTATATACCGAAATCGCCCCTAGTTACGAGCCGGTAGATGAAAACTAAGGATAAAGAGACTGTAAGTTTGAATTTCGTTTCTTGGTGTATTGAGCAGCAGCTACAATTGTGTTAGTGGTTGTAGCAATTGCCTTCTCCAAATCTAACTGTGACAATGGCCTTACCCCCTGAAACAAATATATATATAATAAATCAATTAATAATAAAGAGGTCAAATTAAGAAAAAAAAACAAAAAAAAAAAACCTTATTTGGTTAATTACAGCAATCCTTTTAAATATTTTTACATAAATTTTATGTGATTTGGTTATTTAACGAACTAAATCGTATATTCAGTCCGGTAAACGGTATGAAATGTTGGCGTAACCGAAATTTCGGTTCGGTTTACCGAATTAGCATCAAAAAATTTACCTCCAGATAAGTCTTTTCATAAAATAATACATAGTTGAGTGGGGTGATTGTAATTACCAAAACATAAGGGGTTAATTCGTAATTTGACCATAACTCAGGATGGTCGTAATTTTCCCTAATAAATATGATGCATTTTTTTTTTAATTTGTAGGAGGGAGAGAGAGAGCTACTAACATTATCAGATGGTTTTCCAGCTTTCTCATCATCGAGAAAGTCCCGAATCGGTAAGTACACAGCTTTTTTGCAGAGCTCGAAAATATCCGAACCGGAGTAACCGTCGCACAAACCACATATGTAGTCGTGGTCAATGCCGTGGTCAACTTTCTCACCCTTTAATATCGTCTTCAGTATCGCGACCCTAGCCTTCAAATCAGGCATCCCAATCTCAAACGACCGAGGCAAACGTCTAAGTATTGCTTCGTCGAGATCCGACGGGCGATTAGTACAAGCAAGTACCATTACACGAGAATTTTCTGCATTCAAAAACATATACCGTAGGGGTAGAACCTCGATAAATTATTAACAGAAATGCCCTTTTCACGTAGAATAGAAAACCGAAAAAAGAAACAAACAACGTTACAACCGAGAGATTAATAGAAAAAACACGTACTGTCTGTGTTGAAACCATCCCACATAGACATAAATATAGTCTTCATGGCATTATTTACGTCCTGGTCGTCAGATTTGCGCTGCCCCAAAAAGCTCTCCGCTTCGTCGATAATATAATACTCGGTTGTCGTTTGTGAGCCAAGCTGAACACCGCAGCCACTGCACATTCAATATATATATGAACCATCAGAGAGAGAGAGAGAGAGAGAGAGAGAGAGAGAGAGAGAGAGAGAGAGAGAGAGAGAGAGAGAGAGAGAGAGAGAGAGAGAGAGAGAGAGAGAGAGAGAAGGGGACCTTGTTTCTCCGATTCACCGAGCCATTGGGACTTCAAACTGGAGATTCGAAGATTGATGAAAACGGCACCGGATTCTTTAGCGATTGCTTTGGCAAGCATAGTCTTACCGGTGCCCGGCGGACCGTAAAGCAAAATGCCCCTTTGTGGAGTGACAAGCTTACCGTGAGAAAATAGCTCGGGTCTTCGTAGCGGAAGAATAACGAGTTCGTACAATTCTTTTTTAAACTCATCCAATCCTCCAATCGAATCAAAATCCACATCTACATTGTCTGGATTGATTATGTCAGCGGCTACAATATCCTGAAAATAAACATATAACAAACTTCATTTCATATTCAAGTAACCCATAAACACAAATCCTAACACAAATTGGCTAAAATATATGATTGGCTGCGTGTTCCTTCATTACAAAAAAATAAAAAAAATCGACTAAACTAATTCTAGATTACATTTGTTTTTTCACTAAACTCAAAATTAAACCAACCACAAAAAAAAAACTTACCTACCAAATTTAGAGTATTATATAAAAACATGAGTAATGCATCAAACATCGAAAAAAAAATATTTTTTTTTTAAACCTCATAGGGTCGGGTGAAAGCTTTTGCAATTTGCTTCTTCTTTGATTCACCATGCTGAACGGCGCCGTAACGGAACGGGAACGGCACTCTCCGTTCCGGATTCGGTAACAAAACCGAACGTTGGGAAACGGGCAAAACACAGTCGGAACGCCGGGACAATGTCGCGGGTACCGGAACCGGCTGGAACGGAATTGCAACGGCGTGAATCATCATCTATCTATCTAGTTTACTTCTCCAAATCTTCAGGTGGTTTAATGATGTCATATTAGGGTTTTAATAACTTTTAGTTAATAGTTTCTATAATTTACAATTAGCTCCAATACTTTAAATGTAGGGGTAATATGCTAGGAGCCCCTCATACGAAACCTAATTTGAACTAAATGACAAATCTAAATCCAATTTTTTAATTAAATCCTTCGATTGAAATAATATATGACCCACATCCTTATATTTTTTTTAATCCCTATCTTACCCTTATACCCTAAATCTTATAACCCACTTATTCACGTTTTTCTCAGATTTATTTTTCTCCGTTATTCCTCTTCTCTCTCGGGTTCTCTCGCTCTCTTCTCTCTCTCTCGTTCTCGATTTATTTTTCTCGATCTCAAGCTATATCTCTCGCCCCAACTCCATCCCATGATTTGAGAGGAGGTGGTGGCTATAACCATAAAATCGACTATGGCGTTGCTGGAGGCGGTGGGGAGGGATGGTGATGGCGGCGGCGGCGGCTCTAGGAAGGCGTTGGTGGTGAGCGGCGCCGGTCATGAGGATGGGCTCGTTGGGCTGCGACGCTCAGGGCTGAGGGGATGGTGTCGGTGGTGCTCGTCGTTGGGGG